AATGGACAAAATTAATACTCCAAATGTATGCCAAAGCTTAAAGCAGCAACAACGCTACACGTGTAAGTAAAAATATTTAAGTATCTGAACAAAGAATTCTAGTCTCTTCCCAAATTTGATTGTCCTGACTAATCACCTGTTAGGCCTAATTAATTTTAGAATGTTTTAAAGTGTTGCAATTGTGATGTATTTTAATGTGTAATATGATGAGGCTGTTGACGAACTGTGATTGTTTTTTAAATTAATGAAATTTTTTTTTAACTATGTTATTTTAGAAAAACTGATGATGGTGGAAAAATACACCGAAACGTATTTTAATTGATAAATGAAGACAATAAATGACTGAAACCCAGGAATTAATTTTGATTTGGAATTTAAAACCATTGTTTAAAGCAGGGGTGAGCAACCTTTTTAATCAACGGGCCAATTTAAATTTTACATTTTTTTGCTGGGCCGCACATAAAGCAACACATTAATACTTTTCCAAACTGTTTTTAATAAACATTAGAATAAAGAATCTAAGATTTAACAAAAGTAAAGATTCCATGTGCAAATTTTAATGCAAAATAATTTTTTTTCCAAAAAAAGATTGCTGCTTCCAGATTCTTACTTGCATTTGTCTGGTGACGTTTGTTTTTTGATTTTGTGAAGAGTTAGAACGGTTTTTGTGCACAGCGATTTTGTCTGACTCAGTCCTTACTCCTAGAGAGCGGTTGTTAAATAGATCGGAGGCATTTAAGACAGCAGGATTTTTTGAGTTTTAAAATATCGCGTTTTTGCTTCTCAAAAGGTATCTCCGGCTGACTCAGTGACGGCGCTTTGCCAGCAACTCTCCCAAGGACTAAGTCAGCTCACCCATAGCGGTTCTGACGACTTCAACTTCAACAACACCACCTCGCTTAATCAAAACACGGTCAACCTGAACTTGACCAGCATCAACAACACCTTCAACCAGTCGATTACAGCTACGCCAACTGCAAATGTAGCTAGCATAGCTCCAGTTACTTTGAGCTTCAGTCCCAACTTCAACAGGTGAGGTCGCAATAAAACAAGCAAAAATCTACTGTTGTCCAAGTTTATTCAATGGATGGATGTAGGAAATTTAATCAAATTTTTACCTTCAGGAGCGTAGCAGTTAACACCAGTTCCATCGTCCAAACGAATTCGATAGTCAGCTCGCCCTTGAACACAGCGATTCGAAGCAGCAGTCGAAATTCCAGCGCTGTGGCTGCTTTGCCTAATCCGGACCAGTGGCTCGGGAAAGTGGTAAAAAGTACCAGTCCAGTGCCGGGGAGGATGGACGGGTCGTCTCCTAGACGAACCCCAGCATTGGGACCTCATGCTCGGTAGGAAGCGCCAGCCTTTAAATCCCCAGCAATATTTTGAACAACTTTTGCTTTTCCAGAGCTATTAGTTTGGATTCAGGCGCGGAGACATTCAAGGCGAAACCGGCTGATCCTTTCGATGCAGAATGGGCGGAAACTGCAGCCCGCCAGGGCTCCAGCAGCACGAACCCGTTCCTGAACCACACGCCCACTCCTCCTTCGTCTTTCCAGATTCAGCTCTAGAACTTACATTTCAGGTGAACATAGGTTCCGCCTGCAATACTAAACATGTTGCAATTAGGCTACATCCTTAAGTCTTGATCTGTTTGGGGTTGGCTACATATCAGACAGGCTTTAGTGAGTTGAATTGGGTTGCGAAACCGCTTTTCTATATCGAATAGCGTTAGTTTTTAGGAGCAAAAGTGTGATAGTTGAACAGCCGATTGCGGTACTTAAGCGCGGGGATTTGTTTCTCAAGCCACTGAGGCAAACAATTGATATCGTAGCTCTTTAGGCTGGTCTCTTCGAAAGCACTTTATGAATACATTGTTAAGAGAGAGTTTATGACTATTATTGTTGTCTGTTAATTTGTTGGTTTAATGATCGCATATCGAACGGGGTTCTTTTGTAAAGAATGTAAGCATTTCCTACTTAATTCTAGTTCTAAGATCATTTCACTGATAGTTGTACATATTCGGAGCACAATGATTAACTTATACATTTGATTTAAAGTTGTGCAAAGGGTTCAGGAGACTTATTAATGCTCGTACTTAACACGGTTTTTTTCGCGCGTATACTGGAAGGATGTTCATGATTGGCCAGCCAGGACTGAAAGGTGCAATACGGCACAAGACAGAAGGAACATTAATTAAATTAAAATTAGCAATACACATTATCGAATACATTTTAGCTCAACAGTTTATCGATGTCCTCACCTATGTATCGTCCTTCCGTATTGGACGAAAGCCTGCACCCTGTTCCAGCATATACAAATACTTAACTTGTTCAAACGTGTATAACGCTTAAATAGTGATACTTTCGTAGCGATTAAAACTATCGGTTTGCATGCAGAGTTTCGAGTTGAAAAATCCATTTCAAATGGAAAAGGAAAAAAATTAACTGTGAATGCAAACCATCAATTAATTAAGACGCATTGACCAATGTTAATCCTTAATTTTGTATTGTAACCGGGGCTGTTAATCGTTGAAATTGATAGTATTGAGCAGTGCATTTAATAAGTTAGGGTAAATTTTACCTTATGACTCCTCACAAAAGCGGTGATTACATTTATCCATTCCAGAGATGTTTTGTACTTAAGAATACGCGATTATCGTGCAAGCGGATGACGATTGAAACAGATTGAAAAAATAAATAAAATGCTTTAACAAACTAACCGAAGGCGGTGGGTGATTAGCAATTTTTGTTTGGACTGTTGTACTAGAAAACTGTATATTAGAATTTAAAACTTAAAAATTGTGTTGATTTTCTGCAGGATCTACGCACACCGATCGAATAAACGTTCTCATCTAGTTTAGCTTAAATTATATTTTTCTATTAAGAGTACGTTATTACCGCGTGCTCAGGTTGCAACGACAGCATTAAAATGACGGTGTTCAACCGACTAATTGCACATAAAAAAAACCACCGAAAATGGATTATTTTGTGAACTCTTCGGAGGATCATCCATATTTTCTACAGTCATTATGGTTTATTGTGGAGCACGCCTTTGCTCGAAATTGGCACGTACTTACTGATGTATACTTTTGTATTATATTTACGCAATATTACTTCTTTGGTAATATAATTAATATAAGTATTCTGTTTATTATTGGCCTTTCAATGCGGTTTTTCCATATAGGAAACTACGTAAGGTGCAACAAATTAGGTCAAAAAAGTCTTGATTTTAAGAAGTTTTAGATTTGCGAGTTTTTTTTTGATCGAAGTTTCTCGGGCCTCATTTGAGCCACAGAATTTGCTTTGGATGGAGAATTGAAAATTGGATTCAACCATAACAACATGAGTGGGAAAATTCGAATAGTTTTAACCCAGAAAGCGAAATTTGAATATCATACATTTAGGAGCAAAGATTATGACAAAATTAATGTTTTTCGTTTCGTTTTCGCTCAAGAACGCTCATTTTTTACATAATTCCAGAGCGAAATAAATGGCCTATTTGTACCTAATGTGTACATTAGTGACAATGCAGGCGAATGAATCATTTTTCGTCCCGTTTATAGTATTGTATGAATTAATATTTAAGATATATGCGAACTGGTGGCAGATTTATCGAATTTCAATTTGGAAGAAAATCATCGAAGAAAGCGAGCAAAATGTACTAAATTTTCAAAAATCACTTATCAAGCTTGAAAAAGCATGACGATTTTTTAAAAGGTTCTATGCTCTGATCGAGTGGTGATATGCAGGTTTTTTGGATATAAATGGGGCAGAATTCGACCACAAGTAGGAAAACTAAGAGATTTCCGTCGTATGACTCACATTTTGTGGGTTTTTAGAGCCGCAGCACTTGCTTTTATGAATTCTTAAAAAAATGTGTAGTACTGGCGAAAGCACATTTATTTAGGAATTTTTTCGACCCCTTCAACGTTTGTTAAATGCATACATTTGTTAAATGCAACTGGTATTAATTGGTATGGGGCGTTTTGCAGGAAATAAACAATTTTTTATACGATTTTTATTAATTAGTGTAAGAATTAATTAAATGTTTTGATGTTTAATCCACACAAATTCTGAAAAATAAGTTATTTTAGCGGTCAATTTTCCGTAACGCTGCAAAAAAAAACGGTCATTTACCGAAAATTAAGAAAACCTGCCCAACTTCACATGCTCTGCATTGCTAGCCGAGCGATCAATTTATTCATTTCGCCTTGCGTTTTCGGACAATATTCTTAAACCAAATTTTTATTTTAATAAGAATTCAAAAGTGTGATTTGCGGGAACTAACAGCTCGATTTTAACAATCAAAAATATTTATACAGTCAGTTCAATTGGTTACAAACTGTCCTTAAAAGTTAGAGAATCGACAGTCAAATGGGAAAGTTTAAGGGGACAAAGCTGGGTTTAAATTGATGAACACATTTATACACATAAAAATGTTTGTAGAAAATAAATTGATATATTTTTTTGAGAAAAACAGTTAATTGGAATTGAGTTTAATTGGTAGGAAATTTGTAAAGTACCATTGAGGAAAAAAGGAAAAGTTAAAAAAACAACCAGTTTCATGGTGGCCAAAGCCAAATTTTTAAATGTTAAGGTTTTACTTAGACGAGTTTCTGTTGCAAAAAATAAGCTGATATTTGTATAAAGCAGGTGAATATGGTACTGATATACGGGTGAAGCAGCTTTTTGAATGGATTGTTGCGCCATGGAAGAAAAAATACACTTTTCTATCATCTTTGTTTATCAAAAATATAAAACTCCATCTAGATATAATGGCGGATTTGAACTCTAACCCAGAGCGAAGACTTACTGCTACCAGATTTTGCCTCACTTAATCCTTTAGATTTCCATTCAGAATACAGTAAGAACATTTACTGAACAGTTTATGTTTCTTTTAGGTGTTTTTAAGGCATTTTATCTTATTGCATATTTGAACGAACACCATCCTGAATCTGGACCGAAGCCAAAAGGCAAATTCTACAAACGTGTTCCGGAATCTTTAAACCCTCGGGTCTACCGGAAACGCTACTGCATTACCATCGGAGCAATTAAATGAATTTATAATTAATTGTACCGGAAGCCCGCCTTCCGGTTGTTGTGCTTGTTGGGTGCATTGTGCGAAAATGACCGAACCAAAACCATTCACTTCGCATACTCATCAGTTCTGGAAAAATTCAAACAAAACTTATCTTTATTCCAGCTATTTTGCTGCGCAGCAATATGGTTAATGGAGAGGAATTGTTAATTTCCCTCCAACAATTCCATGGAGACCGTGGAAAGGGAGCAAGATAGACAGCCTGGGAATGTATTTAACCCTAATTAAAAAAAGATGTCTTTGTTTACGGATTTTGGGTCGTTTGGGGACGATGCCGATTTTAACCGATATTATCAGGGGCAAAACATCTAACTTTTATAGGGTATGTTTTATATACATGGGGTTTTGATGAATGAAGGGATTTTTTAAACTAATGGCCAATAAAGAGTTGGTTGAACGTGGGGCCTTTAGGTCGTCATACCAAACCATTTTTACCGATGTTTTGCAAGCACGAGTGGTTTGTATCTTCAGAGGTGTTCCTCTAGCCAAACCTGGATGATTTTTTGCCTTGTAAAAATACGCGCTTTCTACGTACCTGCTTAAGTAGACTTTATAGACTTAAGTGTTAACTTCGTATCGAATATTGAGAAACGATTGCTTAAAAATGCGCTGCCTTTTCCCGTATAAGTCCCTCGAGCTTTATCAAATAATACGCCGTTTTCCAGACAGAACTTTATATCCCGTAGGAAATCGAACAGTGCACAAATCGCAAATACAAAGGTAATGAAATAAAGTGATTCTACGGATCCGTTCAAATGAAACTTAATAAGCAGATGCGAGAGAACAAAAAGTGATTCTGATCGGCATATGCTCTTTTGACTCTATTTTATGTTGTTTCCATTATTCCGTCTACTTTTATTGTCTGATTGGGTAGCAGGAACTGCTCTTAGCGTATCGCTGGATTTTCGTTATAGACATTTGAGTGGAAAAGCGGACTAAAAGTTTCCAACTCGATTGCCGATTAGGCAGGATGCATTATTAGCCACAAAGACGACATTATTTAAATATTCCGCTCTTGTACACAACAACAGCGAGTTTCGTCGCATTGGCAAATAAAAACTTTTACTTCTATCGAATTTTTATATCAGCCTTTTCAAAACCAGTGCTGTAAACTTGCAGCCTTTTACTTTATGTCTCAAAGTTTCATTTGTTGCGTGACGAGAATCGGTTAAATGTCCGACAAAGACGCGGATTCTACTAGTCCTAAGTGAATCAGAGTTTTTAGCAACAACTCTCAGGAGAGAATGTTGGTTTTTGCAAAGGCCTAAAGTGTTTGGTCTGAATTAATTCCAACTCCCAAATGTCTATAGTATAACTCTCCACCTGATGTTCGTTCCTAGGTAACTAAATTGAGAAAGTTATGCTCGACGTGGAGAGTATTAAACGTCTTGTAGAAGTTAGCGCCAATTTAATTTAGGTCTTATTTCTAACAAAGGAACTTAGCTCGCTGCTCAAGTCCCCCATGTGAACGCCCACAATGTTCATTACATTTTAAATGTCAATTTAGGATCCAACAAGGGCTCATTAGAACGACACTTTGATGTTATTCGGCACTAGAAACTCTAACAGATTTTTTTTAAATAAAATCGTTAATGCAATAAGAACGTTTCATAACTCACTCGCGTATGACACACACGCATTTTCCAAATTATTGCTGGATTTCATTAGGGTTGGGGATAATTGTAAAGTAATACTCAGCTCACGTTTCTAAGCTCTACGCGTCTAGGCAAATAATTAAGTGGGATTGCTGTCGCGTAAGGTGATTTTCCAGTAATTGTAAAGTGCTCGTTGGAATTTAAAGTTAAGGTTTCTAGAAATAAATGTTTCAGGTTGTGAGTTTAAAGATATGTACGAATAACTTGCTTTCTGCACCGTTGGATAGAGATTCTCAATGTTTTATTGCTTCTACAAATTCAATTGGCATCAGCCCCTTGGGGGTTTTTCTATAATTTTTCAAAATTTGGTTAACGACAATGTGCTTTTGTAACATTCATTTTGCAGGCCGTTTTTCAAAAATGCATTCTTCTGAAACTACATGTAAAGTCAACTTGCTAATAATATAATTTTTTTGAGAAAACTATCCTTTATAACTTTTAGAAATTTAATGTTGATGGAACTGGGTGATTTTGCGGAAATTTTCTCAAAACCTACTTCGTTTTATTCAATAAGTTCGCCTGTATTTAAAAAAATAATATTTCTTTGTCAGATTTTTGCGTTTGCTTCATTGTAAATGTAAAGCCAGTTATTATATATAACTTTTGGTTTTTAATTCCGATTTAAATTTATATTCACTTTAAGGAATTTTCTTTCGGTGCAAAATTAATTTGCAGGATACTTTTCAAAAACGAACTGAGCTGAAATCGTTCTTACTACCAATTTTATTTTTTTATCGCTGAATAAAGCGAGATTTTTGCTATAAATGCCGCCAGTTTAGATGCGGTGAAGTCTTTTGACTATTTCTGGGACATTTTTAAAATCCATTGTTTTTATTGCTGAATAAATTTGTCTGAGATTCAATTTTCTAAAATTTTGCTTTTCTTTCATTTTAGAGATTAAAGAATTCCGAATTCGTAAATTCTAACACTTTAATTGCCATTTAAGTTTCTAGTCACTTTGGATTTGCAGGCCATTTTTCAGGCAATAATTTCGCTTGATGATACCAACTACCAACTTGCTTGCTCTATTCAGCAATGAAAAATTTCCTTTAAGTTTAGCAAATTTACTTGCAATCAGGTTTTCGGGTTATTTTTGAAATCTTTTTAAACTTTACTCGTTCAATTTTTATCTCAATATGAAGATGATTTTTGTCAAATAAATTTCTCTTAGATAAAATTCGCGAAAATTTTGCGTTTTCTTATTGTAGGTACAGATAAAAGCATTATTTGCAGCTCCTGAAAATGTAGTTGCTTTTTAAACTCTCAGTCACTTCTAAGAATTTTTTTGTGATCAGCAAAGCCATTTTTCAGTCCAATTTTCGGAAGCTAATGTGGCTTAAATCGTACTTACTACCTATTTGCTTTTTCCACTTCTCAATAGCACAAAAA